GTATTTTGTTGCTGTGTTTTTGTCTTCTCTGTTTTTGCAGGTGTTCAGACAGATGTCGAGTGTATTGTCTTTGTGTGTGTGCGTTTTCTTGGTGCATATCTCACGTCTTCTAATCTCTTCTTTTCCTTTTTCTTTCTTTTTCTTATTCTCTACATTCATTTTTTTAAAAAGTCACTGGTGATGAAGAAACTAATATTAAGTTCTGTTTTCTACTTAAGTGGCTCAAAAAAAAGAGAGAACAATCTGCAGGACACCTTCAGAGACTGTGACTCTGCTGAAGATTCTCATCACATCTCATCTGACCACAGCTGAATCTGAGAGGAGCTTCTCAACACTGAAGAGAATCCAGACTTTCCTCAGGTACAACATCACATCTCACTGCACTGACCATGCTCTATAGAGAAGAATCTTGTTAAAACATCCCTGACTTTAACCAGTCATAAAGAAATTTGCTTCTCAGTTACAGAAGGACAMAATTTATGTACAAAAAATAAAACACYACTGTGAGGCTCTTGTGGTTTGTGTCTTGTGCTCTGCCTCCCTCTAGTGTTCCTTTTGTCTCATGCTCATTCATCTCTCTCCTCAGTCTTCCAGCTCCCTCATGATTATTCTCTCACACCTGTCTAATCACTCAGCTGTTTCTACTTTCACTCAACCCAGTTCTGTATTTAATAATCAGTCCTTCTCTCTCACTTCCTCGTCTGATTAGTGCTTGGTTTCCCCCCTGGCTTCCTGCTCCAGTTTCTGTTTCTGTTTTTTTTTTTTTTTTTGCATTTTGCTGCTGCCACATTGGCCTTTTACTTTACTAACATTTTATTGTTTATTTGAGCCTGCCTGCTTGCCTGCATTCATCCTGGGTCCACCTTGCTGCCAAACCCCTGATAAATACATGACATTGTAATGCTGTTTTATTATTTTTATTTATTTGATAAATACACTTGTGTGATACAACATGTTTGATTGCTTTTTGATATATGTCTATTTTGGAGTTGTTTCCCCCCCGGAGAAAAATTCAGCAGCCACCACTGGTTCTTGGGCAAGATACTTCCAAGATACTTCACCCCAATGCCTCTGATGTGTGTCCCATCAGTGTGTGAATGTGATTCACTGATTAGTCTCCGTAGACGATTTGTACATGTTAGCTTTGTAGAGGCCTAATAGAGTGCTGCGTGAATGGGTGAATGATTGTAGTGTGAAGAGCTTTGAGTATCCTGGTTGGATAGAAAGGTTCCATTCAAGTACAGCCCATTTACCATTTAAAAAATGCAGTATTGTATAGCTTTACTTCAAGAAACAAACCTGACAGAAATGGAATACCTTAAGTTAAAATCGAATGGGTAGATCAGATTTACAGTAGCTCATAAAGGAAATGCAAAAAGAGAGGGTTGTCTATACTTTTTAACAGATTTGTATATTTTCACTGTGAAAAGATTTTTCAGGATAAAGGTGTTTGTTGTTATATCATGGTCATAGTGACAGTTGCTGGACTTAAAATAACAATTTTTAAGGACTGCCCACACTTTTTCCAAAAGCTTGCCCGTTTTGTTGCAAAAACCCAGGAAGGTATATTTTTGATGGGTGGTGACTGTGTACTGAATAACAGATTAGATAAATTACCAACATCTTCTAAACCCCAAACTAGAATGTCAAAAAGTCTGTCAAATATGATAAAGGAACTAGGACAGACAGATGCTTGACACAACCTCCATCCAAATGAGAGAGACTACACATTTTGGTCACATGTGTGTGTGAGCTACTCGGTATACATCAGTTTTTAGTAAAAAAAAAGATGTATACCAAATAAAAAAAWATATGATAGAATCAGTGGTGGGGTCTAGTCCCCTAAAGTGCAAATGCGCTAATTGCAGCCATAAATTTCTCATTTGCGCTTTAGAGGTTTTATTAATGTTTTCAGATGATGTGCGGATTTGCGCTTCATTTTAAAATTGAGCAGCGCTAAACT